ATATAAGATACTATCTAGAAGGACACGTTTTCTCTTTGAGATCATTGCTTCCTTGCAGTAGATAAATGAGTAGTGCAGGGGGTAAGGCTGTTGTGCAACCACTAGAGAATGAGGCTAAAAAAAAACGAGAGTTATCGGAGTGATCCTGGCTGACACTAACTCTCACCATGTTACAACTACATGAATATATTCCAATGTTGCTGAAGTGAATAATTCGTAATTAGCATCAATTGTATTTTACGTAGCTGGCGAGAGCTGGTTTGATAGGCATATAGTAGCTTCTGTGCAGTTAATGCCAAAACTTTCTGTAATTTTAGGGGTATAGATGGCCGTAGACTAATATGCGTAAACTAAACTACTGGAATACTCCTTCTGGTACTGATTTGAGTGTCTTTTGTAACTTGTTATGGAACGTTTTTAAAGTATGAGATGCGGAATTTTCTGTTACCACTGGTACGCCTTAGAGGTATGTTTTTGGAAAGCTTTTCGAATATCTATAGTTATTTGCCTGCCTTACTTAATGTTAAATCTACTTGGGGATAGACTAGTTTCTATAGCTCTATTTTATAAGTATTCGCACTGGAAAACGCTCTAGTTCCATTGTATATTTTTACTTTTATTACTTTTATATTTTGATTCAACAGTGATCTGGATAAGAATATCTCTATATACCTCTATATATATACAAGAAGTAGATTAATATATTAAAGCATTTTTATATTTGAAAATTTAAGACCTTAGACATCTTATCATGTCTCTTAGAGAATGTTAAACATTCGCTATAATTTTAGAGTATGAGCTACTCGGTTAGTTGTCCGGCTTGACCGAATATAGCTGGTATACTATTAAGAGTGTTTTTAAAAGTATGTGGAACTGTTCTTCCCATCCCTTTAACCTTCCCTTATAATGAACGGGGATGATAGTGCATAGAAGTGCATTTAACGATTGGTTTAGGTCAGTGCGATGTTCACGAAACGACTTAAATTCGTTTGCCGTGACATGCAACTTGTCTCTAGTGTGGGTATGTTTCGTGCGGCAGGCTCATGGTAGTTTACTCGGCAGACCACCTCGTTCATTTTCGCAACACCACACCGCAACGTCAACGCCAACTACCCGATATAGGTGAATACGTGAACATCGTAAGATTTGATTGATAATTGTTACATGTAAGAATATAAGTGCGATGCAGGTTGCTAAATGGTCGAGCTCCCTGCCCCAAAAAACTGCAAAAAGTCCACGCCTTAACTTTAAGCGTATTCCATAAGCAAATCAAGGTAGCCATCGAATGCAACGCCGTCCGTAGGTTCAATAGAGGCAAAGTACGAGCCCCACCAGCTTAGTAGTCATTAGTTACGTTACATTACAATACAATTGGGATAAGGGGAAAAACTTACGGTCCAGCAGCCCACCAGATAGCACCGGTCCAGACGTCACTGTTGTCATCAATGTAGCTGAGCATACCCTTGACAGCGTCCTTGCAGACGTCGTTGACGCCACCAGCGAACTCTCCAAGGAGACCCTTCTTGTTGTTGTCCTTGAGCCACTGGGTAGCTTCCTCGATACGCTCCTTGCCAATGGTGCTGGAGACGCAAGTCTCGCTAGTGCCGCTGCTGTCGCTGTCCAGGTACTGGTGCATCTGGTAGATGAGCTTGTCCTCGGTGTCGGTCAGATTGCCCATGGTGTCAGCGTTGCCGCTGGACTTCCAGGACCAGGCACCAGTCCAGCTGTTGCCCTCGACGGTGATGTACTGGGAGGTGGCACCGGCAGCACGGATACCGTCAATGGCGGCCTGGTTGAGGTTGACGACAAGGGTCTGGTCCATGTCGTGGAACTCGTTGATGGTGTCGAAGATGACCTTCTCGTTGTCCTTGAACTCGGTGGCAACGGTCTTCCACCAGCCCTTGAAGCCGTCGGTGTCGGTGATGATGTTGCCGTTGAAGCGGCCGTAGTTGTGGGGCACGACCACGGCGTAGGCGCCCAACTTCGTGATGTAGTTGACCGTCTTGGGATCGGCATGTTAGTATTTAGCTGTAGAGAAAGGTAACTATAAACTTACCTCCTTCAGGTCCGCGAGGTAATCAGCGTCAAGGGTGTCGCTCATGGAGCTGTGCGTCAAGCGCTCCATAAGGATGTTGACACGGAAAGTGTTCATGCCCTTGTTGTAAAAGGTGTCAATGGTGCTGAGAGTGGGCCAGACATAGTCCGTGTCCTTGGTACCGGGAAGGTTGGTCTCGCCAAACTCGGGACCACTCTCGTTGACACCGAAGAATTGGAGCTTGTTAGCCCTCTTGTGCTGGACTGGCGCAGCCAGAGCCAGGGAAGCCGTGCTAGCGGCAAGGATGGTAGAAACGCGCATGTTGAAGTTGTAGAAGAGATTGACTGAGAATGGAAAGCGAGGGTGGGGATTTGAGCTGTAGTAAACGCAAGAGGGACTCTTGTTTATATAGTTCGGGATCGACGCATGGGTTATAGACTCCTGGTATTAAAAGAATTCCAATAGGGTGGCCAGGTCGCCGATGGAGGGCGGCCCGTCGGCCGTTTCAACTTCTTTCCATAGTATGATGGCTTCCCCGGAAACGCTGCCGCCTAATCTTGGAGCCCCATTCAATAACACACTCAAATGCTCTCGTCGGGGGATTTGCTCAGGCCATCACAATTGCCACCAATTAGCGCATAGCTCTGGAAGCTTTTCTTTTTGGGGCAAACGTCGTCCCCACAGCCGGAACGCAGGGCCGTGGACGACGGATCAGTCGGTCAGATGCTTAACATGCCATGTCGGCCTGTTGCGAGAAGCGAAGGGCTACCGAATCGTTTAAACTGACACTGAAACAGTTATTGCTACGGAGACATGTGGCTGGACCGGGCGCCTTTGGTAAAACATGGGCCTGAGATACAGGGGCCATCCCCAAATAAACATATTGGGAAATAGTGTCTAGCACGGCAACAAAGGCAAAACGACGGGCTGTTTTCATGGATGGTGCAGACAGACGGAGGTGCAAGTTCCAGACGGCAAAAAGGGAGAGTCCAGGCTCTCCGGAGTGTCAGCTTTGAACCGGCAAAGTCGGCTCGACGATGACATGACGGCCAGCAAAGTAGTGGTCCGTTTCGAATTGAGAATCATAGAGCGGCGGGCTAAAGGCTGGATTGGGGAAGGACGAGGGTGGAGACAACGAGGGGTTGGCTCGCTGGCTGATGAAAGGTCGCATGGCGCAACCGGGCCGTGAAACAGTCCGCCAGAGCTGTGATCTCCGCCTCGTGCCGAGGCGATGTCATCGAACGCCCGCCCAACACCACGCACCAGATGCCGCCCGGAGATGAGAGAGCCCCCGTGAAGCTTTCCCTGCCCCTCGTACGACGCGCATCTGTCGCTCCGTCCCCGCTGCTCTTGTACTGACTCTGCCCACAGCAATATCAGCAGGAGCTCTTCCAAGATCTGGTGCGTCTTGCCTGTCCGTCAGACGTCTCTCGTACCACAAACTGACGCATCGCAGCGTGATGAAGACCAACTGGTCATTATTGCGCGCGGCCTCGGCCTGCTACGTATCGTGACGAACCTCCTGCATTCCTACGATGCCGCCGGCAACAACCTCGTTCTGCTCATCGGAGCCGACGACCGCGAGAATGGCTGGATTGGCGAGTCGCTTGCTGAACACGCCGTCGTCAGCAATGCGCCCAAGGCCCGTGGTCTGAGTGTGGTCAATACTGATATGATGAGTGTGGGCACCAGGGAGAAGATGTACGCGCAAGGAGGCATCTTCAGTATCACCTCACGGATATTGATTGTGGACTTTCTCTCTGGATTGCTGGACCCCGTAGTTGTCACTGGCTGCGTAGTACTGCACGCTGACAGAGTCATCGCGACATCTGTCGAGGCGTTCATTCTGCGCATCTATCGCCAGAAGAACAAGGCAGGTTTTTTGAAGGCGTTTTCGGACAACCCAGAGCCGTTCGCCACCGGTTTCTCGCCATTGGCGACCATGCTCCGAAATTTGTTTCTGCGGAAGCCAGGCTTGTATCCGCGATTCCATGTCTCCGTGGCCAAATCGCTTGAAGGCCGTCGGAAAGCCGAGGTCATCGAGCTGGAAATACCGATGACTGACAGCATGAGAGCAATCCAGCAGGCTGTCATGGAGTGTGTCGAAGTCAGCGTAGCTGAGCTAAGAAAAGGCAATTCGGGCACCATCGACATGGAAGAGTGGAATCTTGATAGCGCGCTTCACAAGAACTTCGATACCATCATCAGACGGCAGCTTGACCCTGTGTGGCATCGAACAAGCTTCAGAACAAAACAGATAGTGTGGGATCTGTCACTTCTACGTAACATCCTCCACGCTGTCCTAACGTACGATGCTGTCGAGTTCAATCGATACTTGGACACGGTCCGTGCTGCTTCTCAACCTCCTCCTGGATCTACGCGCTTGAGCCAGTCACCGTGGCTTTTCCTTGACGCAGCTCATACACTGTTCGATACAGCCAGGCGCCGTGTCTATACTGGCAAGCTTACCAACCAGAATGCCAGCGGTAATGCCACCAACGCAGGACCAGACGCTCTCAGTCCCGTCCTTGAAGAACTTCCTAAATGGGCCATGCTCGCAGAAGTCTTGGAGGAGATTGAGAGGGACGTCTATTTCAATCCCCAACCACAGGATGATTCAAGTGGTGCCATTTTGATCATGTGTAGTGACAGCAGTACTTGTCGCCAAGTTCGAGAGTATCTCCAAACCATGCACGTCAAGCTCGAAGACCAGAAGAATGGAGAAGACACGCCGGAAGAAGGACCTTCTGCAGCGTACATGATGCGGAGAAAGCTTCGGAATTATGTTAACTGGAAGCGAGATTTCGGAAGGGTCAGCGCCTCGCTCTTCGCAGAAAACCAAAAGGCCATCAACACAGATTCGCGCGGTGGCCAGGCAGCTCGTGGAAAAGCACCGCCAAACAAGAGAAGACGTGTGAGAGGTGGTGCTTCTGCTGGCTCTGGTATGTCGAGGACTGTCAGTGGAAACATCCAGCAGAACTTTGACAAAGATGCACACATACAAAGCTTGCTCGCGGAGCTCCAGCCTACCGAGGCAGAAACCCAGCAGAAAGGTGAGGTCGCTGCTGATCCCCTGGAAGACATGGATGGCCACTACGAAATGTATGAAATGAAGGATCTTCTTGTGGTCCATCCGTATGACGGCGACATGGACGAGCACGTGCTTGACGAGGTTAAGCCACGCTACGTTATCATGTATGAACCCGATGCGGCATTCATCCGCCGGATTGAAGTCTACCGCAGTTCGCACACCGACCGCAACGTCCGCGTCTACTTCATGTATTACGGTGGGTCCGTCGAAGAGCAGCGGTATCTCAGCGCTGTGCGGCGCGAGAAAGATGCCTTCACGAAGCTCATCCGCGAGCGTGGTAACATGGCCGTCGTCCTTGACAACGGTACCAGCGCACTTGATCCAGAGGAAGCCTTCCTCCGTACCGTCAACACTCGCATCGCTGGTGGTGGACGTCTTGCCGCAACTGCTGCCCCGCCGCGCGTTGTCGTCGACGTCCGCGAATTCCGCTCCTCACTCCCTTCACTTCTCCACGGCCGCAACATGGTAGTCGTGCCCTGCATGCTGACAGTCGGCGACTACGTCCTGACACCCAACATCTGCATCGAGCGCAAAAGCATTCGCGACCTGATCTCCTCATTCAACAACGGCCGCCTCTACAACCAAGCCGAGACGATGCTCCAGCATTACAAGAGCCCAATGCTGCTGATCGAGTTCGACCAAAACAAGTCCTTCACGCTTGAACCCTTCGCCGACCTCTCCAACTCCGTCGGCGCCGCCGCCATGGCCGCCCCCGACCTGCAAGCCAAGATCGTGATGCTCACACTTGCTTTCCCGCGCCTGCGTATCATCTGGTCGTCGTCGCCATACCAAACAGCCGAGATCTTCGAGGAGCTGAAGAAGCAGCAGGAGGAACCGGATCCGGTCAAGGCGGTGCAGATCGGGCTCGAGGACGGCGAAGACCCGGCCTCCAAGACATACAGCCAGATTCCGCAGGATATGCTGAGGGTCGTGCCGGGCTTGAGTGGTAACGAAAAGGCCCTCCAGCGCATCACGCTCCATGTGGAGAGTGTGTTGGAGTTGGCGAACATGGAGGAAGAGGAGATTTGCGAACTTAGTGGGAGGGAAATCGGGAGGCAGATTCATAGGTTCTTCAATCGCGATGTTTATGCGGATTGAGGGCGTGCGCTGTAAGTGGTAGAATCTGTCTTAGTGGGGCTGTCGTCTTAGAGTTGAAATAATCAGGCTTTGGTGAGCAACCTTCTGCATGCGATAGATTTGTGTCCAGTTGTCTGCTACGCTGTGCAGATGGAAAGTAGACTGGTTTGTGTAGATGCTGTTGTCCACGTCCCCATATTAAACGCTACTGCGGAGAAGCGGAAGTTCTTCAAGCCTTTTCGGTTTGGAATCTTACAGATATTACAAGCATACTTATGCGCTCCTGTAAGTAGGTTATATCGCACCCTATAGGTCACTTTATGCATAGCTTACAAGGGCATGTAAGCTACAACAATATCTAATCCCGGCAATCGTGCATGTAGTACAAAGGCAGGCGTCTATCAGGCTGCAGATTACGTAGTCTGCAGCTGCCTTGCGCCTTGCTTAAGATAGACAACCCCGCACGCTTGATCCTAGCCTTGGGCATCACACAGTCTTTCATGACCCGCAGCGCTTTACTTCAACCACGAGCTACTTTTTTTTACTCTCTATAGAGCGGTATTGAACGTTATCGCAGTCCTTCGAGCTTATCTGAAATAGTCGCGATCATGAGCTACCCTAGCTTCAACGGGGACACTACAGTGTCCCGTTCAGCTAACCGGCGTCTTATTCCGAGAATTCGACGGAAGCGGTGGCCCGTTGATCTCGATTGGAAAAACAGAATATTGAAGGTGTCCTTTGAGAAGCGGCTTGAGAGCCAGCGGCGCAACACATTTGCCAAATTCTCCGGCCGGTTCGTGAGCAGCCTCAGGTGGGAAAAAAACGGTTCTTTGACTCTAACTGTCATTTACGGCGGTACCTCTTCTAGTCCTCCGAAACCTGGTCGACTGGCCGCGTGCTTTGAAGTGAAGCAACGTACCCTGGATCCTATATCGTCGAAACGATACATACCTGATTATTCGAAATGGAGCATGGCATCAGACATGGCACCGGAGTCAACAAATTTGAACGTTGACAATTCGGAGGGAACCTTTGTATACGAAGCACTTTCCACGACCGACCGACAGATTCGTCTCGTGGAAATCTTGCCCGGAGGTTGGCACGATGAGATTTCCTGCACCCTCCGAACAGTGTTCCTTGACAACAATCCAGAGTATGAAACATTGTCATACGTATGGGGAGATCGGAAACTCACAAAGGCCGTCTGCATTAATGGGCACGTGGTCAAAGTCACCGAAAATCTATGGATCGCCATGCGCCGATTACGGCAGAATGTGCAACGCACTTTCTGGATTGATGCAATATGCATCAACCAAAACGACAACCAAGAAAAATCACAACAAGTCAGAATGATGGGAAGCATATTTAGATTATGCCTGGAGTGTTCGCTCTGGTTAGGGGAAGGACCTGATCTTGGCGATTCCCCACCAGGACGATTTCCACCGATTTCAATCACAGCGAGTCGAGTATTCGAACTACTCGGGATGTTATGCCAAAAGAAGCACCTCCAAGAATACCCATGTTTCTGCATCGCTGATGATGGTGCGATTTCCGAGAGAGAAGAGTATACAGCGCACTTCAATGCACTACACAAGCTGTGCAAATCACCATGGTGGGAGCGCATCTGGGTAATCCAAGAAGCCGTTTTGCCCAGTCGAGCAACTCTTGTATACGGCTCCGAAACATTCCCGCTAGACATTATGGTTGAAGGGATCAACTCTTTCCTTATCCATAGTGAGTTCTGTTGCAAGACAATTTGGCCACCAAGATCGAGACTTCTCAGCTTATATGAATTGTGGGACAAAACTTATCCTGTCTTCAAGTCTCGCCTAGTTTATACGATAAAAAGGGAACTATGGAATTTCTATGCACTTCGGCTTAGCTGCTGTGAGCAGCTTGCGACAGATCCGCGGGATCGGCTCTACGCGCTTTTATCCCTTGCTGTCGATAAATACCGGACTGATCCGCTCCTTGTTCCAAATTACTCAATACCCGCAGCACATGCCTTTGCACAAGCCGCTCTGGGTATCATCTCACAAGACGGCGATCTCGAATTGCTAAGAGGCAGACGGTCACGCTATAGTCTGCAAGCCCTTCCATCCTGGCTTCCGGACTGGTTCGCATCATCAGTATCATCGGATACAGCTCAACTTTTGCGAAATGAAAAAATCTTGTGGTCACCATACAACAGTTCTAAAAACATCTTTCGAAACTCGACTCTTGTTGATAAGACTGTTCTTCTACATGATACATTGAAAGTTGACCATGTGGATCGCATTGGACATGACTATTCCGACTACGTGCTAAATATTCGACAATGGATGACGATGGCTGGCATAAAAGAACTACCAAACGACACACCATGCCAAGACAAATCCTCAATTGATACCTTCTGGCGAACAACTATCCTAGACTCTGTTTTCCACAAAGGTACATCAACGGATGACACTTGCTTTCGACGGGCTCTTTCGACGGACTATGAATTGTTCCGCGCAACATGGTACACGATACAGAAGTCCACACAGAGATTAGACAACACCAACCATCTTCGTAACATGAATGCGATCAGTCTTACAATATATTATACAGCTCGTGGACGAAGAATGTTTACAACCCGCCAAGGCAATCTTGGAATGGCGCCGCTTGACGCCGCTTCAGGCGATGAAATCCACATACTATTGGGGAGCAAATGGCCGTTTCTTTTACGCCCACATCCTATCCCAGTCTTTTCGGAAGAGCACGGGGCGAACTTGCCTACGTACACAGTTATCGGAGAATGCTACCTCCACGGGATCATGGACGGAGAAGCTTTGGAAGGTGATTGGGAAACAAGGGTTCAAAAAGTAGCACTTCGTTGAGCTTCAGGGGTTGAATGGGCTCTCTAGCATATGTATATAACTTACTTCCCCATCCTTCCATCTTCTCCCTTTTATGCTTTCATAGTATACTCCCGCGCTTTCATATATCTTCTCTTCGTGTCCTCTCAAATACCTTCATGCCCTCGAATCTTTTTATTTTCGTATCTCCGTAGAGTAGAGTAGCAGGCATGCCACAATTCTCCTCATGTGGCGGCAGCGGCACCGCGTCTCCTCCGCCACTATACCACCCACCACCACAACAACCATCGTATGCTCCTTCATAGTTGTCCTGGTGGTATGGAGTTGGAGCGAGTCGTGGGTATGCCGATTTTGCTAACGCGTCTGCATGTAGATGGTGGCTTCATGCGGCAGCGGCACTGCCGTCGTGACCCCTTCTGAGACCGTATGGAACAGTCTATCTCACCTCGCCCAAAACCAACCCACACACCAACCCCACGCCACACATTACAACCTCAACAACCTCAACCACTCCACACACGCACTCCACGCCGCTCAACCAGCCTCCAACAAGCCCAACCACAACTAGCTAGCTACTCAATCAACCAATCAATCAAGCACCAACACTCTCACCCTCCAGCACTAGCACCAGCACCAGCACCGTGTCCACACTACAAGGGAAGGGAAGCGCACACCACAAATCGGCTGAAGCTAACCCGCATCCACGCGCTCCGCTCAAGATACAGACGCAACCATCACCCCATCAATCCCATCCAGCGTCCGTGTAAACCACCACGTAAGCCAGCGCACAAAAAACAGGCGCAGGCGCAGGCGCAGGCGACGTTTTCGCCTAAGCGAACATCTAACACACGCACAGCAGCCATGCAGTACGCAGCGAAGCGCTCCCAGCGTTTAACTTGAGCGGAGGTCGCGCAACGTTTACGAGAGCGGAGTTTAAGCGGAGGTCGCACAACGGTGCACGCACGCCCGCGCGTGGCGTTGAGGCGGCATTGCGCGCTATCTATGTAGGAGCTACAATACAGGTTACCTAGGTACGGGGTCTGCGTCTGCATCGGACTCGGCTGGGTAGGGATAGGAGCAGGATGGGTATGTCTGGTGGGTGGATGGGTGGGTAGGGTGTTTGTTTGTTTGTTTATTTAGGGGTAAGGGGTTATAACCCCTGTTTAGCCCCCTCAGCGAGTCGAGACGAGCAGTTCTACATAGGTAGAGCCAGAGTGGTTGATTTAAGCTAGGTGTATAGTGTAGTGTAATGTATTATAGATACGCTTCCCTTAGTAAGGGCATTGATATTCTACCACGTACCTACGTCGCTGCCACAACATCTCTACCCAGTGGCCTCGATACTAGTACAGAACACAGCCACACTTAGCCACGCAGTAAAGTAGTCAGTATTTTCAGCTGCTAGGAAGGCGTGCGCCGTCGGTATGGTTCGTTGGCGGGGTTCGCATGGTGCTTTGCATGCATGCATGCACGACGATACTGTTATAGGGGCCGGGGCGGAGGGGGGAGAGCTACAATACAGTGCAGCCGTTAAAGGCGTGCGGTGTACCAGACACACTCGCGCTGTCGAGCCTGCCGCCCCTGTTGTATCCCCTACCTAGCTACCACGTACGTAGTACTCACCCTTACACACACACACACATACACACACAATCACGGCAACACAACCCACTCGCCACGACCACCACCATAAAGACCCCTAAGGGAGCACGCAGCGCACACGCCAGCCACCTCACCACGCAGCAAGCCCAGCACAGCACAGCACAGCACAGGGCGCGGCTCGCGCGCCCAGACGCACGCTCAGGAGCTTGTATTGGAGATCGGCTTGCGAATCCGGAGGGCGCGCAGCGCGCTCGCTCGCCCGCTCTGGCCACTGCAGTGCGGTGCGAAGCGCAGTGTGCGCTTCACCTCCTTTCTGGCGTGAGGGGAGCGGGGATCGGCGCTGGACGTGCGGGTGGTGGCTAGGACGGGGTTGGGGCTGTTGCTGTTGGTGGCGGCGGGGCGTGTTGGGCCGTTGGCGTGGCTGGAGGGGAAGGGGCAGGCAGGTTGGCTGGCAGTTGACTGCGGTGAAGAAAGAGAAGGAAAAGGGGATGAGAGAGCGGCTGAGGAAAGCAAAGCAACCAGAAGGGGGTAGGTAAAGCGGGACCGAATCGGCGTCGTGGAAGCGAGTCCTACGTAGTACGTAGTAGGAGCGCGATTGCGGTTGTTTCGTCGCGGCGCGGGACTATCGTAGGTACTACGGTGGCGGCCTGGAGGCTGGATTGGATGCGGGGCCAGAGAGTTACGTACAGCGACGTGGGGTTTAGGTAAGGCTTTCTCGGCTGGTCGCTGTGCTTGCGGGACCGCAGTAGGCTTTTGCAATACTCCCACCACGAGGTTGGCTGTCGCGCGCATACCACAGATGCGTACGCCGTACAATACAACTCGATGACCCTGACATGGTGGCACGGTGCTGAGCGCTCTTTTTGCAGAAGTGTTGTTGGCCGAGGCGTTCATGCTCCTCGCGTATGAAGGTTTCCTAGATCAAGCGCTTCAGCGGCGGTTCTAAGGTTATCCTGCGCTGGATAATGTTATTGCCGGGAAGGGCATTAGTCGGGTGGTGAAGGACCAGTTTGCCAGTCAAGTGAACGCAAAGCAACGTGGACGTCGACGCAGGGCTTCCGAGCTCGGCACAACTATTGAGGTTTGAAGCGACGCATCTCCGCCTCGAAACACTCGACCACGGGCAGACGTCGACAAGGCGAGACCTTAGGTACTCCGTACAGGTGACGACGACGCAGCAGCAGCGCGAGGCTCGCTTGGAGGAGCCATTTGGTAATAGGCGGCCCCTGACGGACAGGACTACACGCGAAAAGGCGGGCGATCGTCAAGCGCGTGCGCTGGTGTGCTGGGGCAGCTGCGAGATTAGCTAACAGGTAGAGATAGAGTTGCATGGCAAGGCTTGCGGTGAAGTCGTTTCCGCGCCAGGCCCGATGTCGCATTGGGCCCGAAAGGTCGGCGCCAAGCCCGCCAAGCCCGACATCTCGACGTCACTGCTGCTTTCTCTGCCTCCGGACACCTCCCCAGTCCCCACGCACACCCGCTTCGTGAGTCGTCTGTTTGATCGGCTGGGGATGACTCGCCCGAAAATGCAGGAACAGATCCGTCGTGCCCGATTGATAATGGATAGGCGGTTGAGCAAAGACCACGCACTGTACTATGGTAGGTAGTCAAAAGTCAGGTACCGTGGTAGGAGTATATGGTATATATTGAATATGACTTCGCTTCTTTTTTTTTTTTTTTTTTCCTCCTCAGTCCGCTCGCTTCATTCTTTTGAGCCAGTCGTCGTCTCCGGCCGCGGTCCAGCCCCGTCAAAATGTTCTCCAAGACCATTCTTTCGTCCGCGCTCCTCGCGCTTCCCTTCTCTATCCTAGCCTTACCGGCGCCCGCCTCGCCCGCTCTCTTCCGCCGGGACGCCGGCCCCGTCCTCGAGCAAGACAGCGTCAATGCCTCTCTCCCCAACGTCACCATCTACGCGACCGGCGGCACCATTGCCAGCAAGGGCGAGACGTCCGGGCAGACGGTGGGCTACAGCGTCGGGCTGGGCGTCAAGGACCTCGTCGACGCCGTGCCCGAGATTCTGAACATCTCCAACATCTACGGCTTGCAGGTCGCCAACGTCGGCTCCCAGGAGGTCGACTACAATATCCTGCTGGCCCTGGCCCACAACATCACCAAGGATTTGGCCAAGGAGGAAACGACCGGCGTCGTTGTCACGCACGGCACCGACAACCTTGAGGAGACGGCCTTCTTCCTCGACCTGGTCATCAATTCGACCAAGCCCGTTGTCGTTGTCGGCTCCATGCGCCCCGCCACGGCTCTGTCCGCCGATGGCCCGCTGAACCTGTACCAAGCAGTCACGCTGGCCGCGTCAGAGAAGGCTAAGAACCGCGGCGCCATGATCGTGCTGAACGAGTAAGTCCCACCAACCAACACGCACACCCAACCCCACTAAGCAGGCCGCTAACCCGCCGCAGCCGCATCGGCGCCGCCTTCTACGCGACCAAGAACAGCGCCAACAGCCTCGACACCTTCTACGCGACCGAGCAGGGCCAGCTCGGCTTCTTCATCAACCAGGTCCCCTACTTCTACTACACGCCGGCAGCCGTCCCGGGGAAGCCGCACTTCTCGGTCGGCGCCAACACGTCGCTCCCGCAAGTCGACATCATCTACACGCACGAGGACAACAACCCCGCGCTGGTGAAGGCGTCGATCGAGAGCGGCTCGAAGGGCATCGTGTTTGCAGGCTCTGGGGCTGGCTCCGTCGACGACGCCATGCTTGCCGTTGCTGAGAAGCAGTTCAACAGCACGCACACACCCATGGTCGTCTCGCACCGTACTGTTGATGGCTTTGTCCCTGTCGAGGATGTCCAGGATTATATGATTCCGAGCGGGTTTTTGAACCCTCAGAAGGCGAGGGTTTTGTTGCAGTTGGCTGTTAATGCTGGGTATAGTAATGAGAAGGTGCGGGAGGTCTTTGATGCGCTGCACCCGTAATTGTAATTGGGATAATGTGTTTGAGATGGGGATTGAAAAAAAAAAAGAGAGATAGAGAAGGGTGCATGATTTATGGTAACTAATGCATAGACATGAGAGATTTATATGATAGTAGACTTCAATCTCTTAGAAAATGAATGGTCTTTGAGCACAAAACAAAGGAATACTCCCTTAATCAAGGATATTATCGTTTTGCCCGACGTGTTAATTGCCAGTAAGGTAGTTCCAAGGCGATCAGTGGAAGTGACGGGTCGGTTGCGCGACGCGTCGAGACGCGACCGCGTGAGTCACGTGCGAACAATCGTGAAAGGCAAGGTATGGTCGATAGCTGACTACACAACCTCTGTGGTTGGTTCGGGCTTCATTGCTCGCTCTTTTCGGTCCAATTCCAACAAAAACTGCTGTTCATGAGCTGGATTAGTGTCATGTATCCGTGCCTTATCCGACGCCATACAAAGATCATGCAGTCGTGAAAACCTCGCGCCCTGGCTCACGGATTCACTGGGCGGACGGAAAAGTAAATTAATTTTTGTTAGCCCAGACTTGCATGGAGTAAAATGATATCAACACAAACGTGAATCGAGCTCCCAGTGAAACCGGGTCACCGGGTGTGAGGTTCCAAAGTCGGAAACGCATTTATTGCCTATAGTTCTCTCCTGCCGACTCACGCATAATCTGGCGCCGCCGTTCAATGTCGACGGCCAGCTGGCGCTGCTCGTCAATGACCTTTTCGCGGGCAGCAGCGCTGCGGACGCGTTCGGCTTCGGCGGCAGCCTCCCAGACTGAGGTGGCGTTAGTGTTACGCGATAGCGGGTGCAGGCAAGCAAGCAGACGCGTGACTTACTGGGCTTGTCAGACTTGGAGTACTCCTTCAGACGGGTGACAAAATCGTCAAACTCCTGCTGCTTGCCAATGCGGTTCTCGAGCGAGCGCTTCTGGAGCTCGGGGTTGTATCTCTGCGCGAGAGTTTGTGCGTGAGTAAGTGGTTCGGCAGAAACATCAAGCGCGGAGACGGAATGGGGATTGCGTGCAATTTCGGCATGGAGCAGCGAATGACGTCAAAAGCAAAAAAGGCATGAGGTGATCGACGCGAGAAAAAAATCGGTTTTACCTTGAACAGCTCCTCTTCGGTGGGAGAGACGTAGTATACGAGGGCGGGGCCTCCGATGCATAAGATGCCGCCTCTGTTTGGGCAGTTAGTACCCAAATGCACGAGTACGGCCGAGAGGGAGGGGAATGAAAGGAGGAAGGACACACGTGGCGATCATCTTGACCCAGGTGGCAGGGCTCATAGGCATGGTGGCGGCGATGGAGAGGGAAAGAGGCGACTGGAGGGGGGCAGTGCGATGTAAAGGACGAAGATAGAGTAGTGTAGTAGCACCTAGAGGATCGGCGGCAGCACCAACGGCATCAGATGTGGCTGTGCTATAGGTCACGTGCTGTGGCGCGCCCCACGTCGTCGGAATCGGCAGGGCCCAGCGTGAATTAGCGCGGCCCGCGCCCGTTGCTATCACCCCGCTGATTGGAAGCTGCGCGTTGTCAAGTCGCGCCCAGCGCCCAGGGAGCGAAAGGCTTTTGCTCCCTTGGAAGCGCCTGTACGAGCATGGTGCAACCTTTGCGCATCACGCTCCCAGCGCAGCTGCTTTCGGCTCCCTTCAGCCCCAGTCCCGGAAACAGGCCCTGCACGAACGCACTCACTTGAAACAGCATAATATCCATAAGCCAAAAGCCAAGCTTCTTCTCTCAGCTTCCACTCCTTCTCCTCTCCCGACAAATCTCCAAGGCTCCCTTATTCGTGACATGGTGATCTTCCCGTAACCGACTTGGATGCGCCGAACTTCCGCTCTTTGCACCCAACACGCTGGCAGTCCAGCTGGCAAGCCCCAAGCGCCGTCCTCTCCCTTTCGCAACTCCTCCCACTCGGCTCCGTAGAGCCTGCGCGCCCCCGACATGGCCTACGACCCCCATTCCGAGTACCAGCCTCCGCCGCGGGCCTACTACAGCCAGCAGCAGCCCGCTGGTCCCTACCAAGACCCCCACTACAACAACGGCTACGCGCAGGAGCAGGGTCACGCATATGATGGGTACTCGCAAAATGGATACCAGGGCGGCTATCAGGAGGGCTACTACGACGACCAGTATGGCCAGGTGTACGGAGCGGAACAATACCAGGGGCCGCCGCCTCCAATTCCACAACGCCTAGACGGAGGCACTAGGATGATTGGCGGCCAGCCTCCGCAGGCTCCAAACTTCAGTCGCGGTCCCCCGAGACCCGTGGAGCAGAGTCGAGGTATGCCCCCGCGCGGTCCGCCAGGCCCTCAGGGCAGCGGCGGTTATGGCTCGCCCATGCGCGCTCGCGGCATGAGCAACGCGACGTCGACCCCTCGTGGAACGCCACCGCAGGTCCGACCCGGAGGAACTCCGCGACAGGGCTACGGTCCTGCCGGCGGCGGACCTATGGGGCGTGGCGGCGGGATGCCGCCTCCAAACGCACAGCGCCAGATGCCTCGTAAGTACCTGCGAACTGCGGAAACGTAAAGCGCCACTAACAAAACTTGAAGCGCCAGAAGCAGCGAATTTCGACAACCCGTTTCCCGCTTTTCCGATGCGGAAAAGCCCTCCGCGAGCCCAAGGTCCGCCGATTGACGATAGGATGGCAAACATGAGTATACAGGAAGGGCGCCCTAGTGGAGATTACCCTAGACCTAGTGGAGATTATCCCAGGCCGAGTGGAGATTTTCCCAGACCAATGCAGCACGATTTGGACTCGATAACGCCGCGCCCAAGCGTGGAAGCCATAAGACCGCCATGGGTTGGCGGAGCACGCCCGTTCAGCCCGTTGCAAGAGGTCGCTAGAACAGGGGCATATTCGCCTGCACCTGGTGGACGACCTACCCCGCCACTGCAAGAGCCCTTCGAACATCGCCCAATACCCCCGCAGCGCTCTCAGACTGTTCAGCCGGCGAACGAGATTGGTGGATTTAGGATGCCGTTCGCTTCCTCGCCTCCGGGATTCCGGATGCCGTTCATGTCTTCCCCGCCGGAGCCTCGCGGGCCTCAGCGTTCGATGACAATGCCGCAAAACCACCACGATAGTATGCAATCCATCGAGTCGTCATCGTCGTGGAATGACCGAGAGCCTTCGTGGGCTGAGCCAGGACCGATGGCTGGTTACCACGGACCCGAGGACCCAAGTTTCATCCCGCGGCCTGGCACCGCAGGCGGTTCGAGGAAACCGCAGATAGTGGACCCGACGGCTTACAACGTACCTTTTACGCCCCCGAGGATCGAGGATAAACGCGAGATGATGGGGAGCATAGAAAATGCCTACCACCCCCCACCGATGCCTAATATTAACCATATGATGCCGCCGGAGGACAATCGTCTTCAGAATATGACGAGCAGAGATGCTGCCATCGAGGCTGAAATGCCCGATTTTGATAACATTGATCCATCTGCGACTACTCACAAACGTGGATTGTCCTTCGAGAAGCATTTGCAGAGCCCGCCGGGCAACGCTGCTGGCGGACCACAACCCATGCCGTTTTCCCCGCCTACCCTTGAACAGCGGGGGCGGTCCAACACTGGGGGGTCAAACTTCAACCAGCAAGTGCACAGGAGCAGATCTCAGCCGGACCTCAACCGCGGTAACCCAGGAGGAAATGGCTTCGTTGCGGAAATGCCCGGTGACGCTCCTCCGATCCCTCAACTCCCTCGCAGCAACACATTCGGCCAAGGATATACTGGTCCCGGCCAGGAGCCTCCCCCTCGACCTAATACTGCTGGTGGCAGGCGTCCTGGTCCTGCACCGCATCAAGGATTTGGAGGACCACACCCACCACATCCACCACTCCCAGGACAGCAGCCCCGGGGCCCGCCACAGGGCCCGCCACAGGGCAGGGGACCTCCGCCAGGCCATCACCCACGCGGTCCACCACCCCCAGGAGCTCGTTTCTACAATGGACCGCCAAATCCAAATTACCCGCCGATGCAGCGTAGCAATACGGACCAAATGAGGCCAACCCCGGGTCAAGATCCACGCTTCAATGGCCCGCCGCCCCAGTCAGCACCGCCTGATCATCGGGCTCGCGGTCCTCCCCCGATGCGCAACGGCCCTCCTAATGGACCTCCCATGCCAAACGGACCTAATGGACCCATGCGTAACGGACCTCCTCCCGGCATGAGGCCTCCACCTGGGCCTAGAAATGCAGGCCCGAGCCCGGGCCCGGTTGAACCCCAGCCACGCCAAAGCGAGGATTCCCTTCCTCACCATCCCACGCCCGTGAGAGCAGGTCTTATGGACCAGGCCCCCCCACAGCAGCAGCAGCAACCTACGTCTAATAAGCCGCCGCCGGTCAGACAATACAACGGTAACGCCAATACGCCAGTCCCGGGCGGACCGTCTGCCAACATCAAAAAGGGTCGTCGTATGTCTGATCCGATCACTATGGATGGACTTGCCAGAGCCCGTAACGATTCCAAGAACAAGCCCGAAGACAAAGCCCTGCAGCTCCGGTTCGCGAAAAAGCTCGTCGAGGCTGCCGCAGTGTTGGCTGATGAAGGCGGACGCGCAGACCCAAGAACCAGGAACAAGAACCGCGAACGCTACACGCTGGAAGCGCACAAGATCGTCAAGAAACTGGTGCACCAGGGGTACGGCGAGGCGCAGTTCTACCTAGCAGACTGCTACGGCTCGGGTAACCTGGGCCTCGAGTCTGACCCCAAAGAAGCCTTTGCGCTGTATATGTCAGCGGCCAAAGCAGGGCACGCGGCGTCGGCGTACCGCACGGCGGTGTGCTGCGAGATGGGGGCGGAAGAGGGGGGCGGAACGCGCAAAGACCCGCTCAAAGCAGTGCAGTGGTACAAGCGAGCTGCATCGCTAGGCGACACGCCGGCGATGTACAAGATGGGAATGATACAGCTGAAGGGGCTGCTAGGGCAGCAAAAGAGCGTCGGCGAGGCCGTGACGTGGCTCAAGCGAGCGGCGGAGCGGGCCGACGAGGAAAACCCGCACGCGCTGCACGAGCTAGGCCTGCTGTACAGCACGAAAGCGGCGACGAGCCGCGAGGAAAAGGACAAGATCATCCGCGACGAGACGTACGCGTTTGAGCTGTTCAAGCAGGCGGCCGAGCTGGGCTACAAGTTCAGCCAGTTCCGGCTGGGCGAGGCGTACGAGTACGGGATGTTGGGGTGCGCCATCGACGCGCGAAACTCGATTGCTTGGTATACGCGCGCCGCGGCGCAGGAGGAACATCAGAGTGAGCTCGCCCTCAGTGGTTGGTACCTTACGGGCTCTGCGGGCATTCTCGACCAGAGCGACACAGAGGCGTATTTGTGGGCGCGGAAGGCGGCTTGTGCGGATCCCCCGCTTGCGAAGGCCATGTTTGCGATGGGCTATTTTACGGAGGTGGGGATTGGGTGTCCGAGGAGCTTGGAGGAGGCGAAGCGGTGGTATGGACGTGCTGCTTGTGAGTTTTTTTTTTTTTTTTTTTTTTTTTTTTTTTTTTTTTTTTTTTTTTTTTTTTTTTTTTAGATTATACAATTACTACTTCTCAAGTGTAAAATAGAGTAATTATTTATACCCGACCGC